ACGAGCAACGAGGATGAATAAAAAAATTATCGTGAGAACGCGAGAGTGATCTCTCTTTATGTTCTTCCGCGGCAATATAATTGTCTGGCACAAAATATGTATCTCTTCTGTTTCGTTCTTAAATTTTTGAGAATTAAACCTCGCGAGATCATATCGGTTTCAATGCCTTTGTATTATCGGGCATCATCAAACTAACGCTACTCTCATTACCCTCATTCTCGACGTAAAATACACGCCTACAATACCCGATATACTCTTACTCGCCCTACAATGATTCTACAACGAATTGCAGTGTTCTGCAGTAAATTCTCTCTCTGCTTTTTTTTTTTTTTAGCCACAACGGTACAACAGGTACGGATCGCGAAAGGCATTTCTTCTTAAATACTCCGAAAGAACGGTAAAGATAAACGAAGACGTTCTAGACATCGCGCCCCTCCCCCTCCTACACGAATGCGCAGAGTCGATTTTTTTTTCCCAAGAAAAAAATCGATGAAAGACCAGCGTTCGTAATTTACATCGTTAAATACATCGCGGCCTAAACGAAGTAGTCTAAAGTAAATCTCCGCTGTTATTCCTAAGTCGCAATCGAAACGCAACATTTCAGTAAGTCTATGCATTCTCGCGTGAAACTTAATTTTAGCGGTCACGAAACAGCAATATTTTCCTTCTGTTTGTTCTTGTGATACGTGATACCTAAGATTTTATCCGACTCGACATGACGATTTTCCTATCGCTTGCGAAATAATCGAGCGACTGGAAAATCACTCATGTGTACAAGATTCAAGAGAGTACGCGACTCCTGCAATACTAATACTCAATAGTACACTGTACATTCTCTCATTTTGAGAACAAACTAAATATCCTTATAACGACCACTTCTCGCTTTGTCAAACGAAACTGAGAACCTTACGAAACGGTTGTCGTTTAAAATCAACAAACAAGCTCAATCGCTCGGTCATGCTCGATTGCACTCCGCTCGCTTCCTATTTCTCTCTTTGTCATTTCAGAACCAGAAGACGATGTGCGAACTATCGACCGAACAATATTTGACAATGGAGAAAAAAAAAAAGAGATAAAGACAGAGGACATACTCGCTGCCATACGAAATCTTCACACATTCGTTCGTAATAATACAGTAGAAATATAAATTGGAAGGGATTCTAGAGGATCACAGAAGTATATCGATAAGTAAATGGGCTCGATTAAGACGCGCGAAAGAAAGAAATCGTTGCGTGCACGATCGTATTGACTTGTGAGCGGCGTCCTTTCTTTAGAAATACGCGCATATCCAAATGATGAGCGCCTCTCAAAAACTCTACACGTATATATATATATGTACATAGATCTCATATATCAATCCGACAGAAAAATAATTGTAGTAATAGTATAATAGTAATAGTAATAGTACGATAATATAGATAGACTGCATCTAGCTACTAATTGGTGTTCGTACGTTGATCCCTTTTTACATTTTGGTATTTATAGAATGTACCCTCTTTTTCGTTCCCACCGTTTTCTCTCCCTTTCTCTCTAAGGTTTTATCCTCTAAGATTTTTCCCGGATTAAAACTAACAGATTATCGATCCGCTTGTAGCACTCATTTCGAGTGGGGACTATGAACGTTTCGTTTTATATACTTTTGCACATGCTCCAACATCACAATCCAAAATGAGACAGTCAATCTCCGTTTGGCATTGTCATCAATGTGTTCCTTCATGATTCAGTCAGTTGGCACAGATTCAATGTTTCGTCACTGGAATTCTGTAAACGATTCTCCAGCTTTTCAATCGCGCAAACGTGATGACTAATCCATTTTGTCTGTTTTTCTTTGCTTACGGAGTTGCTATGTTGTAAAATCTTCCGCAAATATGTATATGTATATGTGTGTGTGTGTGTGTGTGTGTGTGTGTGTGTGTGTGTGTGTGTGTGTGTATAAAATTGTATGAATAGTATTGCCATTTTGGATAACATTCCAGTATGCATGACAGCGTAATGCAACAACAGGCTTCAAATGGTGGTATATCTTCTGGACTACAGCAGAATGGAGCTAAGGCAGATTCTGGTGGGCCTCATGCCAATGGCAATTTATTACCAGAATCAGATAGTGATGTTAATGGTGTTAATGGAGATATAAATCAGAGTTTGGGACCACCAAAAATAATGGACAAAACTAATCAAGACATTGTGAGACTTATTGGACAACATTTAAAAACAGTTGGTTTAGAGTACGTAATATTGGTTTCTCAATACCTCCAACTTATTAATTTAAAAACTAAAAGTTAAGGATTATCTATTGGTTTATCTATTAAGATATTTTATCTTATATTTCTTATTTAGTATTAATTTGCATACAAAATAATATTAAAAATTGTGACTAAGATATTCATTATATATTTAACTCTTTCAAAATTTTATGTTGAAAAAATTTATGTTATAACTAGTAAATATTAACTTGAAATATCAATTGACAATTTTTAAATATTTTATTATAAGAATCAAACTCTTCTCTGATATATAAGATTTCTTTTTATTAAAAAAGAATAATTTTAAAATTATATTGTTTAGATACTGAGAATAGGTATAACAATAAAATATTATGATAAATAATGATAAAAAATAGAAATAAAGTTTAAAAATAATATATATATATAT